GAAAGATAAGCATTAATTGTTTCTATTTCTGTTTTTTGTTCATTTAGGCGAGTGATTTCAGTTTTTAAATGGGTATTTTCAGTATTTATTCGTTTATTTTCTTCTTCCAAAGATTTTTTTTCTTCATGAAGTCCAAAATAATTACCGGCAATAATTTCTTTTAATTTATTATTATCTCTTCTTTCTGTTTCCAATTGTTCTTTTAATTCTCTTTCGCTAATTTCTAATCCAATTAATTGACTTTCTAAATATGAAATACTTCCTTGTTTATCTCTAATTTCACCATTTAATTCAGCAATTTCTCGCGATTTTTCTTCTAATAATCGGTCATATTCTAATTTGGGAATACTTAATTCTAGTAGGGCTTTTAGGTCTTTTTTGGCGGTTTTAATTTTGGCTACTTTGGCGTGGGCGGAGGCTAAATTATTGTTTTGATTTTTAATGACCTCGCTGAGAACAAAAACTAATTCTAACACTTTTAACCGCAAACCCCTTTCTAAATCATCCAATCTGTTAAAAATCAACTGCAAATTATCAAATGCATTATTCCTATTAATCAGACTTTTTTGTTCATCGAGTTGCTCACCTTCTCGGTTGAAAAAAACCACAATATCTGCGATTTCGTTCTTTACAACATTAAGTTTATTATTTTCCTCAACTAATTTATTTTTTATTCCTTTTCACCCTCCATTAAAAAACTGCAAATCTAACTTATACTTATATGACGGGATAACTCTCGCTTTCGCGGGAGAAATTTGGTTTGGCTCGTTCGACCAAGAAATTCCGTTGCGATTTTGGCAATTTTGCTCTCTCTCTCTCTCTCTCTCTCTCTCTCTCTCTCTCTCTCTCTCTCTCCCCTTTCAACAAATATTTCTTAGTCTCTTTTACTTCCGCTCTTTCTTTTTTAGTGAAATACTTCTTTTCTAGGTATTTTTGTAGAGTTGTCATATAATTTATATTTAATTAATTTATTTGAGTTGGCAACCTTAAAGAAAAAATCAAAAATTATGATAATGAATAATGATTTATTGTGAAGAGAGTTCTATTTAGATAAAGTTGATTCCAACTGAGAAATTTTTTTTCACCAAGAAGCCCAAAAAGATTATTTTTTTCCGCTATTGAATAGACTTGATGAGGAATATAAAAAATATAAGTGCTGACCTAGCAAAGAAAATATTTTTCGCCTCTTTCGGGAAATTGCTCCAGCCAAAATAAAAGTAGTGATATTAGGTCAAGACCCTTATCACTTACCAGAAGTAGCAGATGGTATTGCTTTTAGTACCCAAAGACCTCACTATATACCAGCCAGTTTAAAAAATATTTTTTTAGAGTTCAGTCAAGATCTTAATTGCCCTCCTCCGACCAAAGGTGATTTACTGCCCTGAGTAAGAGAAGGAGTTTTTTTAATCAATACTGCTCTGACCGTTCGTGATGGACAAGCTCTTTCTCATATGAGTTGATGAAAAGAATTCATTTATTCTTTGTTAACTTATCTAAAAATCCACCATGAAAAGTTAATTTGAGTACTCTGAGGTCAAAAAGCCAAAAAAATTACGGAAGAGTGTCAAATCGGTAATGAGTATAGTTTAATTAGCACCCATCCTTCTCCTTATAGTGCCGAAAGTAAAGGAAAAGACCAAAAAGGTTATTTTATCGGTTCCCGACCTTTTTCGAAAGTTAATAAATTATTGGTCGAGATAGGCAAGGAACCAATTGCCTGATTATCTATTTTGAAACCAAATTTAGGAAGCGTTTAATTAGATCCATTCAGAACCAACTTTCAACTTTTTTTACCCTTGAAGAAGTTTTTTTGATCATATTTGGAACATGGATTATTAAAAGATAAAAAATAAGAATTAATTTTAGTATTTCCTTCTATAACTTAAAAATATTTTTTATTACTCGCATTTTTTTTAGTATTCTTTTTTGCTATCTGATATTTTTACAACGTAAACAAAGACTATTTTCTAAATCTCGATAATTCCAACACCTAACGCATTTTTCTTGGCCAGACTTTTTTACTTTGACCGAACAAAAATTACCTTTTAAAGTATCGGTCTCCTCTTTTTCGTTAATCTCAACTTCGGATACTAATAATAATTCCTCTAAGTTAAATTCTGAATAATTTCCTTTTTTTTCCTCTTTTAGATAAATTTCCAAACTGGCTTGGGAATTAGTATCAATAATTTTTGCTTGGCGGGCTTTTTCTAAGGCTTGGTAAGCAACTTGGCGCAAGGGTAGAAGGAAATTAGTAATTATAGCAATATTTTCTTCATTATTAGAGGGAATTTTGGCATTAGAATATTTTAATAAATGAACACTTGCTTGACCAGCAAAACCAAAGTTAAAAGGGAGGTTTTGATAAACTTCTTCGGCCAGAAAAGGCAAAATGGGGGAAATAATTTTTAATAATCCTGCTAATAAATAATAAAGAGTAGTAATAATTTGTTTTCTTCGCAAAGAATGAAGGTTATCACAATACAGACTATCTTTGCTAATTTCAAAATAAAAAGAACTTAAATCATTAATACAGAAATTTAATAAAGAGGAATAGGTAGGGTTGAAATTGTATTCATTATAGTTCTTTTGATTTTCTGCTATTAACTTTTCTAATTTATGAAGAAGGTAATAATCTACGGGGTCTAAATTTGCTTCTAAGTCCTGTTCGTTTTTTATTTCGGGTGGTAAATTGGCAAGATTGCCCAGCAAAAACCGCAAAGTATTCCGAATTTTTTGATAACTTTCTCGCAAATTTTCTAAAATGGGGATACTAATTTTTACTTCTTTGGTGAAATCCGAACTAATTACTCATAAACGCAAAACATCAGTCCCGAATTTTTTGATAATGTCCTCCGGATCAACCACATTACCCAAAGATTTTGACATTTTATGACCTTTCTCATCCACCACAAAGCCATGCGAAAGAACTTGCTGATAAGGTGCCTGACTGGTAAGAATAACCGAAGTAATTAGCGAAGAGTTGAATCAACCACGAAATTGATCTTGACCTTCGACATAAAGGGTAGCGGGTCAATGGTTTTTTTTCAACCAATCTTTACTTTGGTTTTCATTTTTAACTCTATTATTATTTTCCATAGTTTTTTCTAAGTTATTTTTAGGAAGTTTTTTAATTTTTTATTTAAATTCATAATTGAATAGCAAACTTTTTCATATAATCACTTTTTTTAATATTTCTTAGCGTTTACCTTTATTCTTGATTAACGGCTAGAACTTCGCAAAGAGAAAAATACTCCACTGATAATTGCCAAACAAATAAAAAATATTCCGAATAATCAATAATAAAATTTTACCAACCCCCTTTCTAAACTCTTAACTTTTTCGGTATTTTTCCTCTCGATTTTTGCCAATTCCTTTTTATTTTCATTTATTAAACGCTCTACATCATTTTTTAAGTTAATTTCTTTCTTTTCAAATATTTCCACTAACTCTGACTTATTTTTTTCGTAAGTTTGCACAACTTCTTCTGAAATATTTTTCCTTAATTCAACTAATTTTAATTGATTGACCTTTTCTTGCTCTTGTTTTTCTTTTTGTAATTTTTTTAATTCCTCTTCTAAATCATTTTTTAAAGAAGTAAATAACTTATCTTTATTCTCATTCATATTAAATATTTTTAGGTAAAATAATTTAAAAATAACTTAACTATGATGGAACTAGAAAATAAAAAAAATGCTAAATTATTAGGACTGATAAAACTAAAGGATAAACTATTAAATTTAAACCCTCTTTATAATCGAAAAATAAGGTTTTCATTAAGTGAAAGGTTAACATGAGACTTAACCGAATTGTTAAACCAAAATGACCCCACTAATATTTTCTCCTCCTCAATTTTAAGTTTATTAAATAGTCAAGAAGCCAGAGAAAATTTCTCCTTAGATTTAGAAAGTTTTTTTCAGTCATCGACCCCCGAAGTTATTTCTAGATTTCAAAAAAAAGTAGTTCATCTCCAAAAGAAAAATTTAGCAGTTCAACAAGAAAAAGGATATAAAGCACTTTTTTTAGGAGTTATTTTTGTGCGAGGTTATTTTTACAACCGCCAAAACATCCTTCGCTTAGTCAATGCTCCTTTATTTCTACTCCCTTGTGATTTTGACATCAAAAAGACTAAAAAGTTAAGTCTTTTTTTTTATTCAGAAAGGAAAATTAATTACAATTTGCTTTACTACCTTCAAAAAGAATTAGGATTAACCAAAGAAAAATTAACTTATTTCGAGAATAAGTTAAAAAATAACCAAGGAATGGATGGAAAAAATTACCTAAGTTTTCTTACTCAGGAATTACAAACTTTGGTGGCCGCTAGTCCAGTTAAAATCAAACTTTCGCGAACCATTTCTTCGCTAATGAGAGAAAAAAATAATTTTCTAACTGAACGTGAAGAAAAAAGTCGAGGAACAAGCATTAGTCCGTTCACCGAATCAGACTCAAAAATCAGCCACCATAATTTAACTGATCGGAGTCAGCAGCAATGACAAGAATCAGAACATAAATCAAATCACTTCTTTTCTAATGAAGAACGAAAAAGTGAGTATTTTCAACCTGAACCTTTTGTTCGGTTAACTTTAAGCAATAAACCAAAAAATTATCCGGAAAACGAATTAGAAATAGTTTTAAATTTTTGTCTAACTATCGACAGTGAACCTAATTTAAGTTTATTCCGCGACTTTGAGGAAATTGTTGAGGAATATTCACAAGGCAAGACCATTAATTGGTCAAAATCAGCCTTGGCTTTACTAAGGGGCGAAGCGGAGAATATACTTAGCTATCCCGAACCGAAAGAGACTAGTCAGCAACGAAAACCCCTCTATCTCCCTTTTGCTAGCGACCCCTCTCAAACCCATATTTTAAAAAAAATTTTTCGCGATTTTGTGCAAAACACTCTCTGTATTGATGGTCCGCCCGGCACCGGAAAGAGTCAATTAATTTGTAATTTACTAGCAAATGCTTTGATCTATCAAAAAAAAGTTTTAGTAGTTTGTGAAAAGGAAGTAGCTTTAAAAGTTATTTATGACAAGTTAGGCATTATTGGTCTTAATTTTTTAATTATTAAAATAAATGAATTGGCTCAAACTCGCCAGATTTACCAAGAAATATTAAATCGCCTAGAAAATAACCAGCAAGAAAGGTCTAACTACTATGAATACTCAAATGGCGAGAAACAAATGGCTAGTTTGGAAGAAAGGGAAGCCTCCAATTTGAGAAAAATTGTTAATTATTGCCAAGTGGCAAAGGAATTTCAAACCAGTCGCCAGATTCCTTTGCAGAAAGTTTATTTAAAATTTGACCGAAAGCATCAATTATCGCCAACCTTGATCCGAATAAGTAAATGGGTGAAAAATAAGGAACAATTAGATAAATTAAAAGATGATTTAGAAAAATACATTAGCAAATTTAGCAAGATTTTTGTAAATTGAAAGTCAGTTTGTTTCCAATTAAGTAACATTTTTTTGGCGAATAATCTCCTAGGATTTGAATTTAGTTGAGAAAATAAGCATAATTTCCAGGACATAATTAATAATTTACTAAAAGAGTTGAAGGGTGAAAAAGTAGAAATTAATTTATTATCATTAATTCTGAGCACCAAACTAGCACAAGAGTGTAGCAAAAATCACCAGTCGACCAAACTATTAGAAAGCAAACTAAAAGGGTTGGCAGAATTACAAACTAATCCGAATTATCAAAACTTTTTCACTTTTTTACAAATAAAAAACTTTGCTGATTTCTGACAAAAATGTAGTGAGGAAAAATTTTTAATTACTATTCAGCAGTTTGTTTCAGAAGAATTCTTAGCCATTGGCGAACTTCATTTTTTTCTAGCCAAATTTGACGAAAGTGCCAAAGAAAATATTAGTTACTTTTTCCAAAAGATTTTGGTCGACCAGGAATTAAGTTATTTGGATAATTATAGTGAAATCTGCGAGCAAACGGTTTATTTTAACTGACTAAAAGAAACCGAAGAAAAAAATAAGGAAGTTTTAGTGGACTGAAATCAAGATGAATTAACTAGAATTCAACGCGAACAATCAGAAATCATTAGAAGGAAAAAGGATTTAGTAAAAATAATCCTTAAAAATAAACAAAAAGAAAATTTAGATGAATTATCTGCTAATCAGTTATTAGCAAAGGAACTAAATAAAAAGAGAAAAATTTCTTCTTTAAAAAAACTTTTTCCAGAATTAGTGAATTACTTTCCTATTTGATTAACTACTCCGGAGGTTATTGCTTCGATAACTAATCGACAAGAAATATCCTTCGATTTTCTTATTTTTGATGAGGCTTCCCAAGTTCTTTTAGAAAAAAGCATTCCCCTCTGAGCCCGAGCCAAAAAATGCATTGTCATTGGCGATGAACAACAATTGCCGCCAACTGATTTTTTTAGAAGTCATTTAGAAAACGAAGAAGAAATATGAGAGCAAGAAGAGGAAATAGAAAATTTACTAAATGAAACAGGAAAAAATATTAATTTAGAAATTGATGATTTAGAAAAAAATAGCAATTTACTAACTTATGCTAAAAAATATGCTCGCAATAAGGAAAAATTAACTTTATTATACCATTATCGCTCTCGACACCCTGAATTAATTGAATTTTCTAACCAAGCATTTTATAACGGTATTTTACAAATTGTTTCCGCCAGTGAAAAAAAAAATTACTTGCCACCGATTGAGTATCACTACCAACCTGAGGGACGTTGGATAAACACCGAAAATGAGATCGAAGCTCGTTATATTGCTCAGTTATTAAAAACGCTTCCTACTGACAAAGAAATTGGAATTATTACTTTTAATGTCAAACAGCAAGGAAAAATAGAAGACTATATTGACAAAGAAAGAAATCAATACAAAAATTTGTTTATTAAAAATTTAGAAGAAGTTCAAGGAGATGAAAGAGACATTATTATTTTTTCCATTGGCTATGCTCGGAATGAAGAGGGTAAATTTTATCTCCACTTTGGCCCGCTTGGTCAAGAGGGCGGCGAAAAACGGCTTAATGTTGCCATCAGTCGGGCACGAGAGAAAGTAATTGTCGTAACTAGTCTTTTGCCAAGTGATTTAAGTAGAATTACCGATGAAGATGAAAATCGAAAACTGGGGTCAAAACTATTCAAAAAATATTTAGAATATGCCTATTATTGTGGAAAAAATCAGTCGGAAAACACACAAAATATATTGAAAAAACTTCCAGAAATTGTTAATGCTTCTCTTTATGAAAAAGATTCAGGACTGAAAGATTTTGATTCATTATTTGAAGAAAAAGTATATAACGAATTAGTAAAAAATATTGAAGGATACAAAATTCATAAGCAAATAAAAAGCGTTGGTTATCATATTGATTTAGCCCTTTGGGACAACCAAATTAAGCAGTATATTTTAGGTATTGAATGCGATGGTTATTATTGACATAGCCAATTAAAAGATATCGAAAGAGATGTCTACCGGCAACAATTATTAGAAAATAAAGGTTGAAAAATAATCCGCATTCTATCTCGGGATTGAAGTCGAAATAAGGAAGCAGAAATAGCAAGAATTAAAAAAGCAATCAGTAGAACAGTTTAACTTACATTCTCTAACATCTGTTCAATAATTTCTTTTAAGTTTTCCTGATTAATTACGGATAAATTTCCATCGTTTGTTCTTCTCTTTCATAAGGTTCAACCACTTTCATCGGTTTTTTCTATTGTTTTTTCATCTCATTTTCCGCTGGAAATAAAACAAACTAATAACTTAGGACTAATATTCAGTAATTTTCGGTCAACTTTATCTTTGATTAAATGTTCGCCACTGGTATCAATCGCAATAATTTTATTTTGAAGGAAAACTAAAAAATCGGGATAAAAATTGCGAGTTGAACCCAAGGTAATCAGGGGAATAGAGTAGCCGGTGCGGGAAGGATTACGACACCACTTATAACCAAATTTATCTAATTCGCGAGCAAATTTTTCTTCTAACTTGTTTAATTGAGAGTATTTGGGGTGAATGCTATTGTTAAAATTAATAGAATTAGCAGGATTATAAAGTAATAAATCGGGGATGGTATATAACTCTGTTTCGCTTGCTTCCAGTTGAGAATGGTCTAAATAAACTTTAATAACTTCATCCACCTTTTTAATGATTTGCCCGTAAACATTTGATTTAAACCCCACCAAGGCATCAAATTTAGGCTCATCTAGCAAAACCATTCCCCGGATTTGAGGAAGTTTGCGAATAATTTCTCGGTAGAAAACTGCTCGGGCGGTAATCTTATCAGTATCACCGGTCTTTTCGTGAACTGTTTCTTGGAAATTGCCTTGCTCGTCAATATATTTTTTAGTAATAGTTCGATAACTATCACCCCGAGTATTAATTTTATCCTCTCTTCAATCTGGGGTTTGGTTGATAATTTTGGTTATTTCCGGTTCGGCATAAACTGCATTACAAATAATTTTTGGTAGTTGGTAAATATCTTCAACTTTAACGATCTCCGGTTTATCCACGGAAGTAGTTGGTTTAATCTCAATACCTCGACCATTTTTTTCTAATTCATGGTTAATTTCTTCAATTACTCCTTGAAAAGTAGACTGTTTTTCGACCTGAATGTAAAAATGAGCAGTATTTAATAATTCCGGCAATTGGTGCGTGATGGCTGGTTTAGGTTGGCGTAAAACTCGCCCGATTATTTGCTTCACCGCCAGGGAAGAATTAAGCAAACGGTCAATATAGGCACAATAAACCAAAGGGTCATCTCACCCTTCTTGTAATCCTAAGTTAAAAATAATGTGTTGAAAATTACCACTAATAAATTCTTGATATTTCTTTTCTCCACTCCCAGCAAATAAATTGAATTCCGGAGGTTTGGGAAACTCTCGACTAAATTTTAAATCGCAGTAAACGGCAATATTTTCTGGTTTTACTTGACATTTTTCGACTAAATGCCTTCAAATTAAAATCGGTGGGGCTTTTCTTTGGGTAAAATTTTGTTGAATGTTATCCTGCAAAGAAGGATCAAATTCCAAAACGTTAGTGCGACAAACATAAATCGCTTTGGGTTTTTGGTTCGGTAAATTATTGTGGAGTTGGTTTTCGATGGTCTTTAAGTCCTCAACCAGCGAGGAAATGGTTTCCTCACGGGGATTTTCATAACTGGCTAACTGAATTACTTTTTTCACTAAACCGGCTTCTACTACTTCGGTAGTTGGCACTTGGGTGAAAAAATCAGGGTCTTGCCACTTGCTTTCTTTTTTTAATTCGGTAAACTGTTCGGCTAACTTGTGGGGAAATTTCATGGTGGCACTAGCCATTAAAAAAACTTCCGGCTTTAACTCTAATAATAAATCGGTTTGTTGGTCGGATAAATTGTGTCCTTCATCATAAACAATAAAAAGCGGTCGTTCACCCCGGTTTTTTAAACTATCCCAAGTGCTTTGATTTTGCTCATCTAACTTACATTGATAAATTTGGCGATTACCGGCTTCTTTATCTTTTTGGTTAAAAGTTCCTACGGTGGCAAAAAGAACCAGCGGCTCATTTTCGAATAATAAACTTTCGCGGTATTCGGCAAGCATGATAACCTGACATTTACCTAATAAATGGTGATATTTTCCCCCACTAGTTAAATTATTAAAACTTTGCTCTACTACCACACTGGCTTTGCTTAATCACAAAATTATTGGATTCTCTTGACTTAATTTACTTATTTCGCCGATAACTTTGGCTAAAATTACTGTTTTCCCTGAACCGGTTAAGGCATCTAAAATTTGGATAAAAGGCACTGGGGTTTCTTCATTTCCTTTCTTAATAACCACTTGACAGCGGAGATATCGCTCGTATTTTTCCACTATCTTTAAAGCGGCTTTTTCTTGAAATTCGAATAATTCTAGCATGATTTTAGTTTTTTAAGGCTAATACTAAATGGATTTTTCTTTCCACCTCTTCCATTAAAGCATTGTCTATTTCAGTAATTTTATCTTTAAACTTATCACGGTCAATCGTCCTAATTTGGTCGACTAAAATCACGCTCTTTTTTTCCAAAGTAATTAGCAACTGAAAAGAAAAAACTTTATCACTGGCTTTTAAGGAAGTAATTGGTATGATAACTATTAAAGGACTAGCGTTATTTTGTCTATTGTTTGAAACTACCAAGGCAGGATGAGCATCTTTGATTTCTCGCCCATTACTGTCTGGCAAATTTACTCAATAAATATCTCCTCGCCTAATTAACTTTTCCGCCATTTACTATTTTTTTACTTCTCTTAACCTTTGCTGGTTTATTTTTGCTTCTCTCATAATTTAATCAACTTTCAATCTCGGCTTTCTCTCACTGTTTTGCTTCTTTTATCATTCGTGGATTAGCATAACATTCGCGGTATTCCTGAGTCAGTTTGTCCTCTTGTTCGGTTAATTTTTCCTCCACTGTTTCTTTAATAAACTGGCTGATTTTACCTTTTCCTACTTCCTGTTGTAATTTTTGATAGAGACTGATAGGTATGGTAATACTTAAAGTTTGTTTGGGTTCGACTTGCTTCATAATATTATAATTTTACACTGTTAAAATATTTTTTAAATGTTAAAAACAAGAAAGGAATAAGGAATCTATTTTAGAAAAGAAATTAAAATGCGTTTAATAATTCACGCAATTACAACAGCAAGGACAATCTGGAAAAGAAAATTTCCTCAATTATACTTGAAATGAAGTGAAAATTGTTCCATGGTATATTTCGTTAATGCACTTTTTATCAAAAACGAGAGAATAGACATATCTGTAATTTTAATGTTTTACTATTATTAGTTTTTTTTCTTAGTTAATTAAACTTATCTTTCTCTAAATCAAAACCAAAATCTAATAAAATACTATTGGGAATTTGGTAAAAATTCACAGTGTCTACTTGGCATAAATAAAGCCGAGCGTAAACATGATAAGGAGGTTTTAAGTTATTTTCATTGGCTTCTTGGACTACTTTTTGATAAACTTCTTTGGTGAAATTGACATTTTTATTTGGTCCATCTCAAATTAAAAAAAAACCTTCCTGATTGCTATTTTTAGCAATTAAATAATGATAATTCTCGCTTTTTAAGATTTGTAAATTTTGATATTTTTGCTGATATTTATCAATCCGACTAGCAATTATGGTGTCAATTAATTCGTTTCTTTCCATTTGCAAAATGGCTTGGTTGTTAATTTGTTTATCCAGCGTAGTAAACTTAAATCCTCCTCCTAGCGGTTCATGTTCTTTTTGGTCGGCTCATTTTCCGGTAATCGCGGCGGCTAATCTTTTTTGTAAAAGCGTGCGGCAGTAATTATCGCCATTCTCAATATTCCCAGTTTCCATTAAAATAAAACTGCGGTTAGTATTAGTTTCTTTATTTAGTTGTAAAACCGCATGTCCGGTGGTTCCGCTACCCCCAAAAGGGTCTAAAACTATGCCGTTATGAGGACACCATAATTGGGTAATTTTAGTAATTAGTTTAAGAGGTTTAGCAGTTTCAAAACCATGTCCGACTCCAACTGACCGGGCTATTTCACTACTCGCGGCTGCCGTGGTTCCAGACTGGGTGAGGTCTCAACTTACTACTCCTAATTCAATCGGATTTTCATAATCCTCCTTTCCTCAGTAAGTTATGGGTATATGTCCTTCTTTCATATCGGCTAAATATCGTTTTTGTTGGGGTTTACCTTTGCCACCATGAGAAAATATTATTTTGGGTCAAGGTCCTTTTTCTAAAATTTGGTAAGCCTTTTGCGAGGAGACTTGAATTGCGGGGTCATTGAGAGGACTTTCGATATTTTTCATTGAAAAACCTTTAATTAGGAGGGCATTTGATTTATCGTCTTTAATATTTACCTCCTCATATTCAGAGCCTCATCCTTCTAAAAATCCTTTCATTCGCGATTTTGCGAACCGCCAACAGGATCCCATTGGCGGTTCGCAAAATTGGCCAGTAAAGGGATTTTGAATACTATAAACCATACTGTAAGTAGGAGTTTGGGATCCTGAATTGTCGGCGATTCAGGATCCCAGGGGGTCATTATCCGGGTTTTTGAACTGTTTTAAATAATTCTCAGTTCGAGGCATTAAACTCGTTTCTGCTTTTTCTAAATCTTTGGCATAAACCAAAATGTATTCGGTGGCGGGCGAAACATGAGTATAGGTTTTAGGTCCACCGAGTTTTTGTCAGTTAATTATGGCTACTCTATTATTTTCTCCAAAAATTTCATTCAGCATCATTCCCAGTCTAAATAATTCTCGTTCGTCAATACAAAATGCCAAAACCCCATTTAGTTTTAGCATCTGTCGCATCATTTGTATTCTCGGCAACATGAATTTCATTCATTTTGTATGGCGGGAAGGGTCATCGGCTTTCACATAATCCCCTAAATTAGGGTCGTTCGGGTCTTGGTCTCAGCGGTCATTATAACGAAAATCTTTGCCGGTATTGTAGGGAGGGTCGGCAATTATCAGGTCGATTTTGCCGTGATACTGGTAGAGAGTTGCCATGGCAAGTAAATTATCGCCTTCAATGACTAGGTTTTTGGATTTTTGCTCCTCGCTACCGAGGCTTAATTCTGGGATTTCGCGTAAAGTGCGGGGTTTGACTTTCCGGGCTACTCTTTGAGCATTGGCTTTACCGGAAAATAAGATTTTTATTCCGCCTTGGGAATAGTCCTCTAATTTTTGTTCCAGTTCTCGGATTTTGGTTTGGAGATTTTGGATTTGTTGATCTTTTTCTTGGTTCATTATTATTAAGTAATTTTAAAAACTAAAAACTCTGTTTGTTCTTGAAAGAAAATAAAGGATGCAAGACCCAACAAAATTGTTTGAAAAATTAGCAAACAAAGAAGGTCACATTAATAATTCTCCCTACAAGCCTTTTCTTCGTTATGCAAAGTTGAGTTTTTTGTCGCAATTTTCTTTAAAATCACATACCCTTCAAAGTATTTTTTTTCTTTTTCCGATTCCTCTTTCAATTCACGCAAATTCCTACTGAGTAAAATTATTACCCTTTCCATTTCTTCGAGGGTTGAAAAATGTCTATTTTCTCAAATATCGTCTTCAATTTCGAAAATTTTATATCTACCATTAAACAATATTGGTTCACCATTTTCTAATCTGATTCTCAAGCGTGATTTGGATAAAGATCTATATATCTTTTCAATTATGACTTTGTTTAGCAGAAATAAATTTTCTTTATCATTTATTAGTAGTTCTTTAAATTCATCAACTTGTTTATCAGAAATTTTTTTCTGAAAAGAGTTCTTTATTACTTCAATTGTTTTTTTTAAGAACTCGGGAGCAAAAAAGTTTACAAAATTAGCCACTTCCTCCGTAATTTTCATTGCTTTATTTGTAGTGTTTGCTTCCATGTGCTTTTTGTTATAACAGTTTTGTAATCCTTTAATGGTTGTTTGGCGCATATTGAGAAAAATCTCTTTGATTATCAAAAGGTCTTTAATCTTTTCAAATATTTTTTGGTTTTCTTTGACCTGTGTTGATTCCCTTTTTAACTGATCAAATAGATTGATTAATGAAATATTACTTACCTGATCCTCTCAAGCGACAATAATCCCAACATAGTTTTTCCTTAAATACTCGAATTCTTCTTCTAGGACTTCCATTTTTTCTTGCCACTTGTTTATTTCTGCTATTGTTGAACTGCTTTCTTCTCTTTTAAATCATTGAGTTAGTTCTGAGATTTTTTCCTCTTTACTTCCGGTTATTTTTTTAACCTCTTCCCCTTGGTTTTCAATTGACAATGATTTGTCTCTAAGTCTATCTAATTCCAATTCTCAAACCACTAGTTCTTCACAGTCATCAAGAACACTTTGGATTTCTTCGACCAGATCGTCTCCTAATTTGTTTTCTAATTCGTCACGAAGCCCGTCACGCTGACGACGAAGTTTAACCGACGGCAATTTTAGTTTGCTAACTTCAATATACTCTAAATGCACAATGATTAAATTTTTTAATAACTCCGAAACTTCTTTTTGCTTTGGAAAAAGACGTTTAAAAATGTCAAACAGTTTTATTTTTTGAACTTTGATTAGATTAACTAGTTCTTGAATTCTCATTTTTAAGTACTTAGTACTTTCTGCTTGTTTTTGGAAATTTTGAACTTGGAGTTGCAGTTGAACACTTTTTCAAGTTAAAAAATAGCCATTGCAAGGTCTTAGTTGTTCTTTTATTCTTTTCACTTTGCTGTCTGGCCTCTCTTCGATAGAGCATCTTAGTTCCTGAACCGTATTAGGTAAATATTCTAATCCATCATCTACATTGGTATTGTTGATATCTAAACGTTCTAATTTAGTTAACTTAACTAATGACTTTAATGAGCCTACGAAACGATTATAAATGTCTTGCTGAATTTTGGCTTCGTCGTTATTGCCTATGTACAACCTTTTTAAATTAATCACTCGACTAAAAACCGACAAATCTTGCTCAAAAAGATTATTGTTCCTTATATCTAAATGAAATAATTGTTCGGTTGGCAAAGATGAATAATCTAAGTTAGTTAAATAATTATTATGGCAATTAAGAATTTTTAATTTCTCGCAACCGATATAACTTAGATTGGTTAGTTTATTGTCATAGCAAATGAGAGTAGTAAGTTCGGTATTATTAATCACATTTAGTTCTTTTAATTGGTTATTACAGCATTGTAATTCAATGAGTTTCTTATTGTTGCTAGTATCTAAATTGGTAAGCCCATTGTTGTAACATCTCAGTCTAGTTAAGTTGAAGTTTTTACTTATATTTAAGTTAGTAAGTTTATTTCCTTGACAATTCAGTACAGTTAGATTCACAAAATCACTTAGATCTAATTCGCCTTCCAAGCCTTTTTCGCTAATGCTTAACCTAGTTACTTCAGATCTAGTTTTACCTTTATTATCTCATGGATGAGTTTTTTTTGTACATACTCCATCTTGAGGGTAATTACTATTTAGTCATTCTTGAGCGGCCACTAATTTAATAATGTCGATACTTTCATTTTTATTTTTTATTTCTAATCTAGTCCCATCTATGTGACAAGAAATGTATATAACTCTTAGACACTTAAAATCCTCTAAGTCTAATTCGCCTTCCAGATTTTTTTCATTTAGGTAGATTTCTGAAATTCCTCATCTCCTTTCTTTGGGATAATTTTTATCTAATCAACCTTGGCCTTTATTGTACGCTTCTTTTAACTTTTCATAATTTAGAGTTAACTGAGGATGATAACCTTTTTGTTTTAAGTAAAACATAAATTCATAATCAGTAGGATAAAACCCAACCTCTATCCATTCCTTTAGTTGTTGGCTGCTAAGTTTGCCTATTCATTTTAATTGTTCCGCAATTTCTTTTACCTTGCTTTCTGACCTCTCTTCGCTAGAAAAATAAATTTTCTCTAAACTAACCGGCAAATATTCTCAACCATTATTTATGTCAGTATTAGAAATATCAAGGTGCTTTAATTTAGTTAAGTTTTTTAGAGTTTCTAAGGTACCGTAGAATTTGTTGTAAACATTTTGAGAAAAATATTTTTCATTGCTACCACCAATTCGTAAGAATTCCAAATTGGTTAATTCACTAAAAATCGATAGATCCTGCTCAGACAAGTTATTGTTAGAAACATTCAGATAAGTTAAATTGAAATTAAGCAAATAATAATCAATACTTGTTAGATAGTTGTCATTACAACAAATTCTTTTGAGTTGATTTAAGCCATTTAAATCCAAACTGGTTAACTTATTAAAACCGCAATCTAAATCTTTTAGTCGCAAACAATTACTCAAATTGATAACACTTAATTGATTAAAAGCACAGTTTAACTTTTCTAAATTTATAAAATCACTTAAATCCAAAGTACCTTCTAGGTTTTTTTTGCTGATGTCCAGTTCTTTTACTTTGCCCCTTTTCTCTTCAGTTTTATATTCTTCTTGACTTTCTAGTCACTGTTGAACTTTTGACATAATTTTTTTACACAATCAAATTTAATATAATTTCATTAAACTCATTAGAAAACTAATTTCTCAAAACACACCAATGCGAAACTCCACTATCTAACCAAACATCCATGATATCAGTTCCTAGAAGAACTGTATTTTTATCTATTAAATGAGGAAACTTCTCCCACAAAAGTGATAAAATACTCCCATCAAATCAACTATCCGAACCATGAATAGCAACTATTTCCGCCACGTAATCAATAATTTCAGAATTAAGTATGGCTTCATTATTTTTGTATAAAACCGGAATCGGTACGCCTCATTTTCTTTGGCGAGAAATACACCAGTCCTCCCGTGAGTTTATGGCTTGCCACATTTTTTCTTGGGTTCAGTTGGGATACCATTCTACTTTTTTAATATTTTCCAATAATTCTTTTTTGATGGTTTCTAACTTAATAAATCACTGTTTAGTTAAGCGGTAAACTAAGGGAGTTTTATCTCGCCAGTCATGGGGATAACTATGGCTAATTACTTTTTTCCGAACCACCAAATTCCTTTTTTCTAGGTCAGCAACCACATAATTATTAACTTCTGAATAATGCTTACCAATCAGTTCTGAAACTCCAATTTTTTGGTTAAAAATTCCGTTCGATTCCATGGGACATTCAATTATTATTTTTTCCTTTTTAACCACCATAAAATCTTCGGCTCCAAAAGCCGGTGCGAGATGAACGATACCGGTTCCTTCTTCTTCTTGAATAAATTCATCACCCGATACTAGGTATCCTTTATTATCTTTTCGGTAAGGGTGAAAATAATATTTACCAACTAATTCTTTTCCTAAAAATTTCCTTTCTACTTTTGCAAGCTTTTCTCATTTTTCTAATAAATTAAGTTGTTTTTCTAACATTAACAAATATTCCCCTTCGCATTCAACTAAGACATAAGTAGCGGTTTTTTTGACTGCCACTAACTGATTAGCTGGAATAGTTCAAGGCTGAGTAGTTCAAACTAAAAGATTAACATTTTCTTTTCCTAAAAAACTTCCTGCCAACTTAATTTTAAAATAAAGTGAAGTATCTTTTTTTTCGTAATATTCTATTTCGGCTCCGGCCAGAGCAGTTTCATGGCTGCAAGACCAATGAATAGGTCTAAATCCTTGATAAATTAAACCTTTTTTAACCATTTCTCCAAAAACTCTAATTTGTTCGGCTTCATATTTTTTATCTAGGGTGATGTAGTGCTCCTCATAATTAGTGAAAAGTCCTAATTTTTTTAACTGTTCTTTTTGGATTTGAACTTGTTCCAAAGCGAAATTATGGCAAAATTGTCGCAGATTTATTGCGGCTTGATTTTTGTAGACTTGTAGCGCTTTAAGTTCAGTTGGTAAACCATGGGCATCTCAACCAAGTAGAAAGGGAGTATAATAACCCGCGGAAGCCCGAAAACGAACAATAATATCTTTAATTAGAAAATTTAATACATGTCCAATATGAAGTTTACCATTGGCATAAGGAGGACCAGAATGAAGAATGAAAGTTGGGTTATTTTTATTTTTTGCTAATAATTGTTGATAAATTTGTTTTTCTGCTCATAATTCCCTAATTTTTTTTTCGTTTTCTAAGTGGTTAGTATTTTTAAGCGGAAAATTGGTTTTAGGTAGTAAAAGAGTATCCTTAATTTTTTTGAAGTCCATTTTTATTAAAATTATTTTAACTAATCCAATGAAAGAAAAAAGCAAAATAACCACCAAAACAGTCCAAAGACCTTTCAAAGTAGAGTGTTTTTATACTCCTCCTTTGGGAAATAAATGCGGTAAAATCTTTGAAGTCAAGTATAATCGCTCTTGTGGTGAGTATGTCCGAAAAAATAACTGGAGCTATTGAACTGAAAAAGAGGAAGATAGACCAAATTATCTTTGTAATGAGTGTTTAATTTCTTTTTATAAAGAGGATAAATATACTTTCTGAGAAAAAGTTTCCAGTGAAAAAAAGAGGAGCATACTCCGCACTTATGTGAATAGCAATAGCCTTAAATCCAAAAGGAAAATACTCCCTTGTGATGGGAGTGGTTGTGAAACTGCCTGCTGTTATGGTTGTCGGTGTTGTGAAGAAAAAAGCAAAATAATAAAGGAATTAGCGGGACAAGTTAAAAAACTTGAAAAATGAGTAAAAAAGTTTGGGAAGTTATAATTTTAACTAAAATTATAAAAAAAAGAGAATTAACAAATAATGGTGGAAAAATAAACATTATGAATAATCAAAGGTATAGAAATGTAAAAAAATTTTTAATTGAGGATTTGTTAGAGTTTCATGTTATTAAAAACGGAGTTAAGAAAGATACATATGAAAAAAGGTTGAAAGAAAACAAAGTTGAGAACTGAAGTGAAATTTTGTGAGATAAAAAGGAATTGACTGAATTAAATGAATATGCTGTTAAAATAGTTAATATAATTTGAAATGGCGGTGTTTATACAACTTATCCTTTTTTAAGTACTTCAAAAAATAAATACGACAACGCCCTTCTAAAAGACCAGCAAGAAGAACAAGAATTAACTAATTTGAAAAATGAAAAAGACCAATTTGCGAACTCAGTCCGCAATTACGAGCAAGGATTAAAAGCGGTTATCGGCAATGATTTAACCAGTTGAGAAAACAAAATAGTCAAAGTAGGTAGCAATGATAAGGATATTTTGGATTTACAGCAAAAAAACACTGATTTAACCAAAGCCAAAGAGGAGGCAGAAAAACAACTAAAAGAGAAACAACAACAAATTTTAGACCATAAATGCGATACTCCTAATAATGCTGAATTAAACCAAGTCAAGGAGGAGTTAAAAAACGCCAACCAAGAAAAAGATAGATTGCAAACTGAATTGAATAAGAAAAATAAAAATATTCCAATCCCTCAACCAAATGAGGAAGAGGATAAAAAAGAAGAACAAGAAAATCAGAAATTAACGGTGGAAGAATTAAGAGAAAAATTAACTTCTAAACAACAAGAAATAAGAGATTTGCAGGAACAATTATCAAAAATGAATAATTCCCAGTCTAACCAGGATAGCAAACAAAACCCAAAATTCTTATTAGGAATAATGACCGCTTCCTTGGTAATGTTAATCGCAGGAGGAATGGCTTATTTGGTTAAATATCGCAAAAAAAAAAAAAAAACAAATAAGTTTCACCTTATTAAATTTTAACACCAACCATTAAAATAATATATTATATATGTCTATTGAAAAAACTCTTTCCATTATCAAACCTGATATTACTAAAAAAAACCAAATTGGTGAAATTATTAGCGTGTTTGAAAAAAGGGGGTTAAGAATAGCCGGAATGAAAATGGTTCGTTTAACTCCTCAATTGGCTAAAAATTTTTACCAAGAACATAGCGAAAGACCATTTTTTAAAGGAATGACTGAATTCATGTGTAGTTCGCCAGTAGTGGTAATTTGTTTGGAAGGAGAAAATGCCATTAAACTTAATCGTGAAATTATGGGCGCCACTAATCCCCTGGAAGCCAAGGTGGGAACGATCCGAAGAACCTATGGCGAAAGTATTGATAATGCGAATGCAGTGCATGGTTCAGATAGTTCCCAGGCAGCGCAAAGAGAAATAAATTTATTTTTTAAAGAGGAGGAAATTTTTTAATTCAATTTATTAAAAATAAAAAAATAAGTTACAGATGGCGAAGTTAATTTATCCACCTAAAGGTAGCACTTTCTATGCAGGTGATTATGTCGTTAATGATCGAGCAATAAATTAACCAGTCCTCTTTTAAATCCTTGTTCAGCAAATAAAGTTTTTTCATGTTTACTGGCGCTCCGAGAAGGATTCGAACCTTCGACTACTTGTTTAGGAAACGAGTACTCTATCCACTGAGTTACCGGAGCACATTTTAAAACATAATTTATAAATAAATCAACGTAAACCTTACCTAATTTTTCTCCTCCGTCGAACCCTAGTAATTAATAATCCGGCTCCTACCACCAAACCAATTATCAAGATACTAGATAATCACACGAAAGGATTGTTGGCACGGAAAAAACCTACTGGGGTTTGGTTTTGATCGGACTGGTTACGGGCTTGAGCTAATAACTGATCAACTTTGTTTTTTTTTTCTTTATAAGCATTTTGAGCATATTCATTAGAAGCCTTGATAAATTTTTCTAATTCTCTAATCTTAGTTTTGGTTTGCTTGGAAAGACCAGATTTTAAAACTTTTTCCAAGGCAAAAACTAATTGATTAAGGGCTTTCATTCCGGCATCATTTAAGACTTTAGTTCGGATATTTTTGATTTCATTAGGCTCGATATTATTATTATTATTCAATTCTTCGAGTTTTTGCTTACTTTGTGGACTTAAATCATCAGTTTTTACTTTAAACTTTTGTAATTCCTTAGTTACTTCTTCTTTGATAATTTTTCTTAATTCTTCTTTATCCAGTTGACCTAATCTATCTTCGGTCTCATTCCTTAACTTATTTAAATTAGGATCAGAACTATTTTGGACAGTCTCTTTGGTTTTATTAAGGATATTTACTATTTCATCTTTATCATTACTTTGTTTAGCTTGATTTAATTTATCTGAGGCATTTTTAGCCTCTTTGGTTGGTTTGGGATTTGTGGGAGGTTGATTATGGTTGCCCGTTTGGTCTGAATTACCATTATCCGTTGGAATTGAACCATTATCATTATTATTGTTTGGTGAATAATTTTCTTTTTCCTCTGGTTGCTCAGGTTCAGGGGATTGATTATGATTACTATTTTCGTTATTGGTTTGTTTTGGTGGATTGGAATTGTTATTTTCAGGAGAAGTTTGGGAAGAGTTCGCTGGTGTTCCTTTTGGTGATGAAGTTGTATTAGAATTAGTTCTTTGATTGGTTTTTAATTCTTCTCTAACTTTAACTAATACTCTTCCTAACCAATTTTCCCCCTCGTTTTCTCTAAGAGGATAATTAATACCATTTCCTTCTACACCATTACCTCAAAACTTGTCCTTTTTTCCGCTATTCTCAACTATATCGACATCGCCAGTCTCTAACAATAGTTTCTTTAAATTCTCATTTTGCAGAAATTTTTCTTTTACTATTCAATGCATTACCCTTACATTAATGCTGTTTCATCGACCTCTGTCATACTTACCTCTATATCTGCCACTTCTCCCATTGGCTAAATCATAGGCTTCTCTTGGAGTTTTTGCTTCATAAATTTCCTCAATGATTGCTGAGTCGGTAAACTTGGCAGCCTGGAAAAGGTGTTCGCTGGTCTTCCATTGGTTTCTGATTAAAGCCGAACTTAAACCTAAACTCTGAGGTATTTCACTAATGTTAATTGGCACTAGATAAAAATTAGTAAACTCGTAATAATCTTTATCACTATTATAAAATGAAACTACTTTTCTTGACATGATATTATCTATATATTATTTTAGCATAACCTCTACTTTTACTATCATTTTCCTCTTGTAAATTTTCTCAATCCATTTCTAACTTGGTTTTGTGACATATCTTTACTTTAACTACACTAATTTATTATAGTATATAGTATTTTTATTGAATTGATCTCACATTAGTAAATAAACTTATAATTTACCTAAATTTTTTTACAATTAAAATAATCATTCCAATTATAAAAAACACCACAAAGGAACCAAAAAAGCAAACCATAAAAATTAGGTCTTTTTTATCCTGCCTCATGGCACACTTTTTGCAATAAATTTCATTTCCATATCTACCTCATCCATTTACTTTCCAGTAGCCGCTGGTTTTGGCAACTTCTTTTCCCTCTGGGATTTTCTTATAACAGTTAGAACACAGCATAATTATTAATTATTTTAGTATAACCAAATGGAGATGATTAATAAATTAAAGGAATTAACCCTCCTTAAAGATAATGGTCAAACCAGAAAATGTCCTTAACCTGTTCTTTTAGCCTTGTATAAGAAAAAAATAAGTTAATAATGATTAAGTCTTTTGCCGACAAACATACTCAAATGCTCTTTGAAAGAAAAAGAGTATTAAAGTGAAAGCACATCGAAAAAATGGCCTGAAAGACTTTACAATACTTAAACCGAGCCGAAAGTTTACAAGACTTATTTGTGGTATCTGGACTTTGTTTAGAAAAACTGGTCGGAGATAGGAAGGGTCAACATAGTATTAGAATTAGCAGACAATATCGAATTTGCTTTTGATGGAAAAACAGTAATGCTTACGAAGTAGAGATTATCGATTACCACTAAAATTAAGTATTATGGCTAGCAATAAAAAATTTTATCCTATTCACCCAGGAATAATGTTAAAGGAGGATCTGTTAATAGCAAAAAACATTAGTCAAGTCCAATTAGCCCAAGACATTAATCTACCAGTTCAGCAAATTAGAGGGATATGTTCAGGAAAAAAACCTATTACTCCCAATTTATCTTTTAGATTAGGAATTTACTTTGGTATGTCTCCTAATTTTTGGCTTAATTTACAAAATGATTACGAGCAAGAATGCTTAAAAGATATTTTGGAAAGTCAGGAAAGTAAAATTAAAAAGCAAATTCACCCCTTACCTACTACTTCCTACTTAAAAGTTAATAGTCATTTAAAAAAACACCCTTAACCACCTCTTATTTTTTTTATTTTAGCCTTTTGCATAAGAAAATGAGTTAAAAATCAACCTAAATATTAAGTTCTTTGACTTCTTCCATAGAATATTGAAAAAATTGCCAACAGAATGATAAATAAAAAAACAGCAACAAAAAGAATAATAAATCCCTTTCGCAACCTTTTTTCTCGCCTTGCTTCATTTTTGGCACATTTAACACAAAATACTCCACCCGCTCCTGCTTCACCTCCTCATCATCCTGCTCGTCAATAAATGCCACTGCCCCCTCTTTTAACTTCTTCTCCTTCCGGTATTTTTCTATAACATTTACTACACAGCATATTTAAAAATATTTTAAAGAGAAGAGAATTAAGTGGGATTGATGTAATGGTAGACATGCAAGAATGAGGTTCTTGTGCCACAAGCATGAGGATGAGGGTTCGAATCCCTTATCCCGCACCATAAAAAGATTATAAAACTAAACCAAAAGGTGAATTTGCTAAAATTATAATATAGATGATAAAGGTAACCAAAAACATGGGGATGCGAGTTTTGACTTAGGTTGAGGTTCAGTGATTATGGCAATAAAATTGTTTTGAAAAAAATCAAGACGAAAATACCCACAATATTCCAGTAGAATTGTTGAATAACAACTACGGATACAACTACGCAAGAATCTAATTCTTAACTAGTTCTTATCGGTTCGCTCAATTCGGACTGGTTCGTAATAAAAGTTGGGTCAATTATTAAAGTTTGCTTATTCACTTGTTAATTGTCTATTCAAAAAAATATCCTACCTATTGAAACATATTCGTTTATTAATATTCATTAGGGAAATTCAATAATAAACTAAGTTGTAGAAGTAATCATTAGCCATCTAAGGACATGGGTTCAATCCCATCATCTCCACCATTATACTAAAAATTAGTCTAATGTGACTACTATTCCTACCAAAAAGAGTATATTACGCTGATACTTACTTAATTATAATTAGAAGTAGAAGGTAATGGAGGTGGGTCAAGGTGACAGTGGTAGTTAGGTGATATTAAGTTAAGGTTATATTTTGCTATTCCAAAGTGTGGTGCAACCGGATGATTAAGCATACTATATAAATAGGTGATTAAGTAGTTAAGTAATATTACTAAAGTTAAAGAGATAACACTATATTATATAAGAAAGAGGGGGGGATTTTTTAAAGGGGGATTGAAAAAAATAGTAGAGTAGATATGACAAAACTATATAATATATAAAATCTACTACTATATAGAGATAAAGTTCTATCTCAATAATAATAAGTCTATATACATTAAAGATGACCAAGTATGAATAAAAAGTTTGTAAAATAATTCAAGGGTTATTATTTATCCCTCTGACTTATATTCTAGACAGTAAGAAAAGTAAAAAATGACTTCACGCTTTGGCCTAACGGCAATAGAATAATTGCAAACAATTATTTATTTCACAGGACTTTACCGGAAGTAAAACAGGGCAAAGTTAAGTTCTAATTGGATTTACTTCTAAATAAGTTCACAGATATAAAATTCTAGGATTTCTTATCCGTTCCACTGTTAGAACTTAAAGCAAAAAGAATGGATGAACAGGGAGTCAACTGTTTAAAAAAAGAGGTCAAAGAACATAAAAAAATACAAATATTTAAAAATAACATGGTTAAAGAAATAATTATTCCTAAAGAAAATAAAGTACAAATAGAAGAAAAATTTTTGAATAACCGTTTAACTTACCTCTACCAAAAGCGAAACCAAGTGAAGAAAGAGAGAAACAGAAACTTCTATCAATTCCGTTATTACTCTATTCTTCCTTGGAAAATTTGGGGAGTTATGATTGTGGTGCTGTTTTTTGTAAGTTTAGTATTTAGGTTGAATTGAAAGGTAGAAGAAATTTTTGCTTTCTTAGGCCTTTTATCATTTTTCCTGTTAGTTACTTTCCTTCGAGGTATTTATTGAGTGTTTAAAATTAAAAAATGTGTTAAAAAAATAGATAAAATTGATGAAAAAATTGCGGAAGAAATATCTAAATCTAACTTCTAAAAAAGGGGAACCCTCCGGGTTCCCCCCTAATAACTGAATTCCTAATTTCACTTATTAGTCAAAAATGAATAATTAAAACCTCAAAAAAATAAAATTAATAATTAACTTTAAAATATAAATGGTGAAAAAAAAAAAAAAAAAAACTCTTTTCCTTGCTGTAATTAGTGGAACAATTATTTTAATTTTGATAGGCGGTGCTTTCCTACTAGGAAAAAATAGTCCATCAAGAACGAGCAATTATTCCGAAGGTAATAACCCAAGTAAAGAAAAAAATAAAAAGCCAAGTAAATCACCGCCCCCTCCTCCTTACCAGTGGCCTAATAATAACTTCTCTAACAAAACTCTGGCTAAGGCCATTAAAGATGATTTAAAGGATGCTTTAATTAATAAGAGTCGGTGAGATTCAGGATATTTTAATGATTACTTGGTTTATGATAGAGGTAATATTTTGTGCCACGATATTAATGACAACAAAAACCTCACAAGGAAACTAACTGAAAATTTTAGCCAAAATTATTCTAAGCGAAAAACTAAACGCGAAAAGGAAAAAAAAGAGTGAGAGGCTCAAGGATATACCTGACCTAAAAGTTTAGATAATGATTGAGAGAAAAAAGAAGCAGAAATGATTTGATTGGAGGAACTAGAATCTGAGGATTATCGAGAAATAGTGAATTTAGTTTTTTGAATAAAATGTTTAGCGAAAGCAGAAAATGAAAAAGAAGGTAATGCGAGGTATGAAAAATTTGCTCGCGACCCAAATTGTTTTTATTGAGGTAAGGGAGGAACCAGCACTGATAAAGTTTTTATTGATTCAGCCAATATAAGGAGAAAATATCATACCTTTTATCGATGAGAGAATCAAAAGGTTTTTAGTATTAATATTCCGGAAAATCATCTTTCTCTGAATGATTTTTCTTTTCAAAAGCGAGGATTTTATTTAATTAATGGTCTTGATAAACTATCTTGAGAACCTTCTCCCTATAATGGTCAGACTAATTGAGACTTTTTTGTTAAGTGGGTTAGTTTGAATGATAACATTATGATTATTTGCTAATTTCTAATTAATTTTTCTTCCTTTTGGTTAAAATCTAGTTATAATTAACGCAAAAGTTTACTAAAATTTAGATAAAGAATGAATAATTCAAACCCCGTTCCAAAAGTTTTATTAGGTTTAGAAGTCCATATTACAGTTAATAGCCAAAAAAAAATCTTTAATTGAGAAAACACTTATCAGGGAGATCTTCCTCCTAATAGTCAAGTTGGATCCTGAGAATTAGGTTATTTAGGAGTCTTACCAATCATTAATCCTGAAGTTATTTATTTAGGGTTAAAATTAGCTTCTGTTTTGGAAATGAAAATTAATCAAATCATTCTTTTTGACCGTAAAATTTATAACTATTTTGATTTGCCGAAAGGCTACCAAATTACTCAGCAAGCACTTCCTTTTGCTAATTCAGGTTTTTTACCAATTATTAAAGGAAATCGAATTGAAAGGATACCAATTAAAATTCTCCAATTAGAAGAAGACACTGCCAAAAGCATCTATTCAAAAGAGGGAATTAAATTAGACTTTAACCGAGCTGGCAATCCTTTAATTGAGTTAGTTACTGAACCAGTTTTTCACCAAGTAGAAACAGTTTTACTGTTTATTAAACAATTACAAAATCTTTTGCGATATTTAGAGATTTCCGAAGCCAAAATGGAAAAGGGTCAATTAAGAGTTGATTTAAATTTTTCTTTACAATTAGGGAACAAATATTCTACCCCCCGTTATGAAATTAAAAACCTTAATTCTTTAGCGAATATTGAAAAGGCTTTAAAACACGAGGTTAACAAGCACCAGTTATTATTTTCTGAAGGACAAGAACCTCCAATTAGTCAAACGCTTGGATTTGATGAGGAGCAACAAATTACTATCACTCACCGAGAAAAAACTAATTACTATTATTTGCCCGAAGTTAATATCCCCCCTATTAAATTAAAAGTTGGAGAAATCAATAAAAT